CACATGGTGCCCATTACTGAGCTCCTTGCCCCACGCCCTGCCCCCCACTGAATCTATCACAACTGTTTCCTGTGGCCCCAGCTCCTTACTGAGCCCCTACCCTACACCAAATCTGTTTCTCCTTAGTTGTGAGATCTGCCTGGTCTCCAGTGCCAAGCGCTCTGGCTGCAGACAGGCAGAGACTAGAGCAGTGAATACTGTGCCCGGCCTTCCCTTGTCTGCAGCTGGGAATTCATTCCCTGGCCCATCCCTGGTGGCCCATACAGCATCCTGCAAGGTGCACAATGCACTGGGGGCTGCTCACATGCATGGATCTGTCAGTAGCTCTCACTGGCTCGAGGCAGGTTATTTAGTTCCCCCCTCTCTGTGCCCCTCCCAGCCCTGCCCTGCCCTGAGAACAGCCACTACGAGGCCTGCGGTGATGCCTGCCCAGCCAGCTGCTCCCACAGAACTGCCCCCTCCTCCTGCCCAGAGCCCTGCGTGGAGACCTGCCAGTGTAACGCCGGTTACGTCCTCAGCGCCGGGCAGTGCGTCCCCGTGGGGAGCTGTGGCTGCGACTACAACGGCCGCTACTACCAACCCTGCCGCTCTCGGTGCAGGTGTGATCCCAGCCTGGGCATGGTGCTTTGCCAGGAGACCAGCTGCAAGGCCAGTGAGAAATGTGCCATGGTGAATGGTGCCTACCGCTGCAAGGCAACCACATACTCCACCTGCATAGGTACTGGAGACCCCCACTACACCACCTTCGATGGGAAGAAGTATGATTTCCAAGGCACCTGCATCTACCAGTTCGCGGCTCTCTGCTCCCAGGACCCCACGCTCACCCCGTTCAACGTCAAGGTGGAGAATAACAATCGGGGCAACAAGGCCGTGTCCTTCACCAAAACTGTGACCTTAGAGGTTTACAACATGACCATCAGCCTGAGCCAGGAGCATCCTCGCAAGATCCAGGTAGGGACGCAGAGTCTTGATTGGGATCATTTGTAGGGCTGAAATTTGGCTGCCCAGTCTATATCCAGGAAACATAATCCAGGGGGTTTCCATCTTCTCCAAGTAAAGTTTGTACTAGATGAAGATTTCATGTAAAAACATATTTGGTTGAAAAATGATCCATTTTCAGTGGGAGACATGCACGAAAATTATTAAATTTGGGGTGGAAGTATTTCTCTCTCTCTCTCTCTCTCTCTTTCTATATATATATATACAAAAATTTCCTGCAGGATGGAAGAGTGACATGCTCACATCACGCTGCATCCTGATGCCCCTTCGCCCACATCTGCTAGCCTCCTATGCTCACATCACGCTGCATCCCGATGCCCCTTCGCCCACATCTGCTAGCCTCCTCCTTCTCTCCCCCTCTTTGGTGCCATGGGGTGGGCACAATTCGACCCCCTCCTCCCTGGTGCTTCCGGGGGGCAGAAGCCATGAACCACGTGGCCTCCTTCCTCCCCGGTGCTTCCTGCTGGCTGCACCTTCAGGTGGAAACCAGCATTCACAGGTGCTAGTTTCTCTCTCATGTCTGGCGGTTTACACGATAATAGGGGCTCACACTGCAAATATTGCCTTGCAGTATGGGATCCGGATTGGATGGCTTGGATTAAGGCAGGCAGCAAATCACAAGCAGTCAATAAAGCCTCGATACTAAACAGATCCTTAAAGTCTTAATGCCTCGTTACCGACACCAATGCTCTGGAGAGCCAGATTGATTCCAGCTACATGCCAACATGGGACCTTGGCATGAGCTGGCACCTGATCTGCCAGCGTCGTGCCTGCAATGAGGGGGCTCCAGGACCTCCCTTGGAAGCCTGGTCCAGAGCTTAGCTCAACTTCAAGTTAGAAAGTTTTTTCCTATATCCAGCTCTAATCTCCTGTGTTGCAGATCAAGCCCACTGTGTCCTATCCTGCCTTCAGTGCACATGGAGAACAATCAATCCCCATCTCCCTCCCTGTGCAGAGTTTTCTGTAACGCTGACTTCTGGAGCCAGGCTGTCTGCTCCATCTATGCTCCAGTGACTCACCGTGTCTTTTCCAGGTGGATGGTGTCTTTGTGGACCTGCCCTTCTCCCACCAGAACAAATTCAAGGCCTACATCAGTGGCGTCCATGGTTTCATCAAGACTGACTTTGACCTGAGAGTGAGCTTCGACTGGTACAGCTACGCCAGGGTCATCATACCCAGCAGCTACGCCGGCGCCGTCTGCGGGCTCTGCGGCAATGCCAATCAGGACCCCAGTGACGATCTGACCATGAAGGATGGAACTCGGACAGCTGATGAGGTTCAGTTCGCCGACAGCTGGAAGGTGGGGGAGGTCCCAGGCTGCTCGGCTAGCTGCACCGGGGACTGCTCAGTCTGCAGCGAGGCTCAGAGACAAACCTACAGGGGAGAGCAGTACTGCGGGGTCCTTGCCAGAGGGGATGGGCCGTTCAGTCAGTGCCATGGGGCTGTCGACCCCGCCCCCTACTTCGACGACTGCGTCTTTGACACCTGCCAGTACAAGGGTCACCGTGACACTCTGTGCAGCGCGATCAGCGCCTACGTGACGGCCTGCCAGGCCCAGGGCATCCCGACAGGGCAGTGGAGATCAGCCTCCTTCTGCAGTAAGTGTCGCTTCCTGAACATGTTGCTGTAAGTAGAACTCTGTGCAGATCCAAAAATTAGCCACAGAAATCCACAGCCACATCCATGGCTATGGCTACCCACAGATATAAAGCAAATAACTGTTGGTTTGCAGGGCTCTAACACTCACAAACCGTCCAGCAAGGCCATGTATCAGCACTGTCTCCTGAATGCTGTCAGAACTACTCACCCAAGTGTCATAGGCAGAAAAACAGGAGGCCTGGGGACATTTAGCCTAAATATATTCACGTTTGTTTGCATTTTGCAGGGCTC